ATGCGAGCTGCCCTGGCCGCCCGCTTCATACAGCCTAGTCAACACGTGCTTTAGTGGCACCCTCTCGAGCCGTCGACACTGAGTGCGGCAGCCGTGAGCGCTCGATGAGCTCACTACTTCACGGCCACTCAAACCAGGACCTACGACGTCATGAAGGATGTTATTTTTTGCTTGTTTCTGTAAGTCTAATTTGCCTATAACTTTTAAAATAAAGCGAAATTTGAGAAAAGAAAAGTTTCTTTAAATTACTACGTTCAATGCGCTCAGGTTCGGTCCAAATTAAAAACCAGTCAAAAAGTTATTGCAGGGCCACTTTAACGCTCCCAATGACGACAAACGAGCAAAAAACATGTCTTCAGCACGCTGCCGGCCAGCCTCTGCAACGCTCCAAAAGGTTAATTTTCCGTGTCCCAAGATGGTCGTCCGGCAGCCGCAATCACGGAACGGGGAAGCGCAATTTAGCAATTGTCGTAGAGATCAGTAAAAAAATATGGAACGCATACCCTCCTAGCATCCATCAGGTAGGGATAAGCATTCTGTGCAGTCTATATGCCCATCAATGTCAACACATGTAGCCATTTGCAGGCAGTCGCATCCTTTCGAAGATCAATCTGGCCTTCGTCAGGCACCAGCTTTCGCTCTCAGCACACAGCCACTTTTGGTGGGCTTCGAGGCTGCTCGCATCTTCACCCTCCACAGGCGGGGCAGCCCCGGTCTGTAAATGTAGAATATGAATATGGCAGGTATTATTTGATAACACTTTATGTTTTGGCCGTGTAAAGAAAATCTGCATTCCATTTTCTAACATATCTGTTATGAAATAACAAGGTCAGGTGGAACGGCTCGAGTTCGCTGACTGAAAGACAGAGGGCTTAGCCTGAACCAATATCCTAGCAGCCTTCGATATTGGTGTGGGGGGAGAGAAGGCTGAACCTCTAAAGATGTCTTCAAATGATTCTCTAATTGCTTAACTCCAAAGTTTCAGGCTGCTGCACTTCAATGTTCTGAACTTTTTCCAACATATATTTGCGCTGTCGCTAACCATGTTCCATTTGCCAATTTTTTACACGCCCCTTCTCCTCCAATCAGAACAGCACGAGAGTCCGCCGTGAACAGACTTGGCATCATCGTGTGTCATATATCCCCGATGATTGCCCATTAAAGCCAAGGTTCGAGCACAAGCTCATAGCATCGCTAGATGGTCGCACTGCACGAACCCTCGTGCAGCCTGAGTATCTACTAGTACTGTTAAAAGCGAGCGAGTTGAAAATGAATACTTAAAATCGAAAGAATAAAGCGCGAGGGACAAGCACAGGACAACCACGTAAAGCCTGGTTCAAACAGTTGCGTTTGACCGCGTTGCGGCTGCGAGAAACCAGGACATCCCTGCTGCTTATATCGCGTGCCAAGATGATTCTTTGAATCGGAATCCACGCTTCATACGAAGCACAGATGTGCCGGTGACTCGTTTTCGGTTCTAAACGCAACGCAGACAAACACACTCAAACGCAAGTGTCGGAACCGACCTTTACGGTACAGGCTCACAGTAAAGCTGTGAGCCCGAACCGTCTCGCACGTCTAGCCTTCGCTTTAGTACATCTCAGGATAAGACGGAATGTATCATAATAGAACCGATGTGGTCTCACCATTCTGAGCAGAAGTGCGTGAGTAACCGATGCTATTTTCGTGGTCGCTTGCACGTAAACAACCAAGGAGCTTGTACACAACGCCGGCATTCATCTGGCTTGAAAACAACTTGAGCGTTGGCTTGGCTTGGATGTCAGCTGCCCATTGTGCTTACTTGAACTTCACGAAATCCTCTAAATTAAGCAGGCTGCTTCTTGACTTCTGCTGTCGGCGCGTATGTCTGCGGTTTCCGAGTTCGACGATTCGGAAATCATGGGTGTACCACCGCAACACCCTCTTAACACGATTTCGGTAGCCGTAGGGTGTAAAAAGGATGTACGAAGGGTGTAGGCCTTTCCGTACACCCTTGAATATTCAAAAATCATGTAAAAATGGTGTAGGAAGGGTGTGAGCTCGGAAAAACACCCTTTTAACACGAACATGGGTGTTGAAATTTTTAGTGTGTACCTCCAGGGCCGGCCCTACGCCATCAAGCACCCTGGGCAAACTCCGGTCGGCGCGCCCTGTCTCCCCCTTTTTGGTTTATACGCCCCTTATCTACAATGTACGACACAACGTTGTTAGTAAACCTGTGAGTAGTAGCCCGACGCGAGCGTTTTGTCGGACTAGAACCGCATTAGAAAAACGAACTGCGATGAAGCATATAGCGTCGTGTCAAGTAGACGTGTTCAAATAAATCAAAAAGCTAAAAAAATATACAAAATCCCCCTTTTGATAGTTTCCTGGGTTCACGCCCAAGTGCTCAACCGCTAGGGCCGGCCCGTGAGTACCACGTTTTCAAGCACAACGTGCTGCACTACCCAGTGCGCACAAAGTACTAAGAAAACTCATCCCCAAAAATGCCGCCCCCCCCCCCCCCCCCTCTCCACCGTGCGCGCCCGGCGGTTGAAGAGACTGACCTCTTTCGGTTCAAACCGAATGCGGAAAAATAAATTCGAAAAACTATTATCGACTTTTTTCGGTTTAAACTGAAAACGCTGAAATTTAGGTGTGATGTACTCAAGTAGAAAAAAACAAACAAAAAAACGCTGCGTTGTTTTAGTTTAAAGCGCAAACCGCATGGCGCGTTTTTGCTCGCGATTCATGGTACGTTTACACCTGAATAGAAATCCGCTGCCGCGGGAGCGGATCCGCTCCCGGCGGCGGCGGTGACGAGCGGGTTGCGTTTACATCTATTTCCTTCGAGGAGTGGCGGCAGCGCAGGCTGCGGCAGCGGTTCCCGTAACATCTCGCCAAATATGACGAGAAGGCGCGAGAGTTCCCGCGTCGGCTCTCTCTCCCGGGCGTTGCTGCTCCCGGAAGAACGCGTACTCGTAACGTAGGCAGCGTCGCGCCGCTCACGAATGTCACTTCCGGTCAGCGAAACGCCTCGTTCGGCGGCAGAAATAGGTCCTGGACCAAAACGGCTCGCCGCCGCGTTTTCCGCCCAGCGTTTCGCCCCAGCGGCAAAAGCTGGGCGGATCCGCTAGCGGATCCGCAAGTGTAAACGTACCATCAGTCGCGTTGGCGTCAAACTGACGTCATTTCCTGCGCGCCGGCGCGCGTTTTCGCGGGAGCGTTGGTTTCCAGCCGACCCAGAAAAAGACGCGCGCGCCTAGCCGTCGAAGCGGCTCTCGCCCAATGAGGGTCGGTCGAACTATCACGTGATCCTGCGCAGTACGCTGTTTCGTATTCAGCACATTTCAAAGTGTTCAAAAGCATTTTTATTTTCCATATAAAAATTTAAAAGGTGTTTCTTTTGACACACAAACCCGTTTTATTTAGTTATTTGCTTATTTAATTCTCATTTTGTAGTATTTGCGTCAACATTTACATCGCGTGTTGAGAATTCTGTTATCTGGCAACGCTGATAACGCGCGGCTGGCGGCGCTTGGCTTTGGCTGCATGCGGGTGCCCGCGCGTTCATAGCGCGTCGCGCTTTCGCGTGCACAAAAACACTCCATGCGGTCTAGGCTTAATACAGCATAATCGTTCGATAGAAGCTAACTGGAAATGAATTTTGCATCAGCTATACGTACGTGAAACGATGGAAAGTTGCTTAGAAATTTAGAATAAAAGTGGAAAATTGTGAGTTCACAATCTTTCTTCTTTGCCTTTCCCATCTTAGGATGCCCATGCCTTTTAAAGAACCAACACGAGTAATACATTTACAAGTTGAAAACGTTTCACTTTAGGCGGACAAGCCTTCAGCATACAAATAAAGTTTTCTTCAGCAAGAATGCTCTATAAACTAAAAAAAAAGATTCGCATTTTTTTTTTTAAATATAAGCGACACATCGTTAAACGCTCAGTCGATGCTCAAATGTAGCCCTACAGGTCCGAGGAGCAGGCGCTAAAGTTTCAGAACTAACCGTTAGCATATTAAAAAGTTATAGGTGACTTCTCAAAATTTGAATCCGAAAATGAGGCTCATTTCCTGTAGCTGACGATATTCATCTTCATGTGTTCGCGGGTGCATTGTGGGTTAGATCGGCTGCCATGTTTCCACTGATATTTTCACATATTACTTATAACTTTTGATTGGGATAATAGCCAGCTCTGAAACTTTGCCATCGGGTCCGGACTATTAGCGCTATATTAAGGCAGAGATGCGCGCTGTTGTGGAGAAAAAAAAACATTCAGCATTTATTTGGGGACAAAATGTGCTGTAACCAGAGATTTTAATGAGTCACGCCTGCCGGAGAGCCATTTATTTCCTTGGTTCTAATAAATAATGGATAAGTTAGTAAGTTTTATTTCTAGGAATTGCGGACAATATAACACAACACAGCATGTAGATAAAATAGTGTACTCGCTAAAACGTTCTTAGTCTCAAACGATGCTGATGCTATATCGCATTTTAGGTTAATTTACGTGCTCTAAATTGAAACAAAAGCTATTCAATGCGAATAGGCTGAGTTATGTTCCAGAAGCAAGTACTCTACAAGTAAATTCCTCTCAATATGTTTTTTTTTTTCTCTTCGAAAAGAAAAGCCTCATATCTGATATTTTGCACTGAACGGAAAGCAAAGAAAATTGGGATAACCGAGCGATCCCTAGAATTAATTTAATATTGCTAGAAAACACGTTATTGTCTTGACGTAAATTCTGGAGATTAAAAAAATTGTAAGTGAATATATTTTAAGGGACGTCTTGCTACAAAGTTCAGCCAACATCCCTCCCCCCCCCCCTTAAAAAAAAAGAACCTTGATTTTCAAAAATTGGCAAAACTAATAGAGTTTGCTATTTAACATTGCACATGTAAAAACAGCGTTGCTTTTGCTGTTAGCTTGCGTAAGAGCGACGCATATTGCTAAAGAAGCTTTTTCCCGCATACGGCATAATGATGTACGAACCGTTTTGTTTACATTCAGACGTGGTTCCGAGGCAAAGGAAGTTGCAAGGCCGGCAGGTGCGTCCTAAATGTGGAGTCCAGAGCAGACGTCGAACCTACACCCGAGACAAGAACCACAGAAGCACAGCCGAATCCCATAGAGCCCGACGCTAACTCGGCGACGGAGTCGGAACAGGGGGCTCCCGCCACTGAACCGGGGTTGCCGCCTCGACCTGAAGAGGAACCGCTCGGTCCACCCGAAGAAGCCGTGCCGAACGGTTCTGAAGCGCTACCCGATCCTAGAACAGAAGAAGTACCTTCTAACGAACCTGGACCAGAGCCGGGATTCTCACCCGAACCGGTAGCTCCCTCCGAGCCCGAAGGTGAGCCGGAACCTGCACCCGAAATTTTGCAGCCGGGCGCTGCGCCAGAACAAGTGATACCAGACGAATCTGAACAAGAACCGGAGCCTTCGCCTGAACAAGTGGTTCCAAATCAGCCTGAAGAAGAACCGGAGCCTGTACCGGAACAAGTAGCACCAAACGAGTCTGAACAGGAGCCAGGGCCTGTACCTGAACAGGGGCTACCATACGAGCCTGAGCAGGAGCCGGGTATTGCAGTCGAGCCAATGGTACCAAATCAGTCTGAACAGGGGCCAACTGATGATAATGAACAGGTAGCACCAAATGGACCTGAGCAAGGGCCTTTCCCAGTACCTGGGCAGGAGTCACCCGAACCGGAGGAGCAGCCGGGGTCTTCTGTACCCGAAGAGTCAGGAATAGCTGCACCCGAAGCGGCCCCAAAAAACGAACCTGAAGAGGATCCTTGTAATGAAGACGAATGTAATGCGGTGTCAAAATAAATAAAAGATACATTTTTGAAAGACGACTACAAACTAGAATCTTGCGGTATGAAAAAGATTGTATATTCTCGTTGTTTATATATTGCAAAAGTAAACTTAAAATCTGGAGAACGTCCATGTCGTGAATGCCTTATAGAACCATACTCCTTTATGCACATTGAAATATGGTATGCGTTGCCTTGCACTGTCTATACCAGTGGATAAGCAGCAAAAAGGAGAGATGAGGTCTGCACCCACTTAAAAACAACGTATAACATCGTCGTACTTCAGGACAGTTCGTGCAGTTTTTTCGGTGTCTACAAGGTGAGAAGGCCCCAAGGCACAAACTACTTTTTGAATTTACTATTAACAGCATGACGAATAAGGTGCTTGGTAGAACGCATCCTAGCAGTGTTGGAAGTCTTAATTCGCTATGTGCTTAACAGCTGGCCACACGGACCTCTATGATACTTTCTGGCGAATGTATTAGGACCAAAAGCCAATTTTGCTCAAGGAAATGTTCCTTTCACCATTTAAATATTTTTCGGTTCACGTGTTTTGAGTAAGGAACGTTAGCATTTTGCAAGGGTCTTTGCTAGTCAGACCCATTAAACTTTTTTTATATGCTATGATTGACCTACAGAAGGGAGGAGGAGGTGACGTGATAACAAATTGCTGACTTCACTTAGCCTTACTCTTTGGGCTGGGACACAAATACAACTGAAATTACGCAGTACACATACAGGGGCGAAAGCCTCCGTACATGGGCTTATGGGATAAACGCTACCCATATTGACCTGCGTCTTTTCTTCGGACCTGCATTGAACCAAAACAATGAAAGGCAAGGCTTTTTAATTATTTACGTGCGAATCGTTGTTCGAATTGTTGAACACTGCATCATGCACAGCCTTCACAGGGAAAAGGTAAGCCACTACATGCTATCACTCTTTGCAGTGTTGAAGCTAGGGACGACACTGCAGTATTTGATTCAAACCAGTATTCACACACCGTTAGACGTTTCTTAAATACGTAATGTCAAGAGCTAGTATACGCACACCCCAAGATTTGTTTTCTTCTATAAGCAATTTTATGCGCAGCACCACGCCTTATGGTAATATATGAGCTGCAGGTTGCTTTCCGATTGTTACACGTATGGGAGAAATGTCGAACTGCCTTGTGCGATACGCTTTGAAACGCCACTCGATGGTAATTTATGTATTTTCTTAGGTATTCAATTACTGGGTCTGTGAAACAATTAGGAACGAATCGTAATGGTATTACGAAACTGTTCACGCACACGCTTGTGGCGACGTGAGATATTTTTCTTGCATGCAAAAGTTAATTTCTATTTTTCACGACAGCGTCTTATGTTATATCGTTGACGGTAGTGCAAAGCAAGTTATTTTATACGTAGTCAATTTGTTAAGCACCATAAAGAGTTTAGGAGCCTAGCTACTTGTAACGTACCCAGTCAATCTATTCTTCGCACTATTTGTGAGTTCTGCCGAAGCATCTACGTTTTCCCGAGAGAATCAAGCAAGTAATCTTGATTTACGGAAAACATGATTGCTCAAAGTAGAAAAAAAAAAGTTTCTTTCCATTTTTTTTTTTACCTGACTTCACGTCGGTAGGTCAAGTGCCGCGTCGTAGATAATACTTTTTTCTTTTGTTTCCTTGTGCAAGCAAGTATACAGGCTCCAATATCTTATTACTCTTAAATATCCTCTTTGTTTTTAAGTTGACTTGATAGCAAAGTAAGAAAGTGATCAAAATCGCAATGCTTAGCCTCGTTTTGCCGTTTTGAGCTGTAACGTGCTATCGGGAAGCATAAGCACCACAACTCGTGTCGAAGATAAAGCATAAATTTCAGCGGCGACTAATCGACTCAACATAATCTCGCTCCTGATTTCGACGAGCATCTCCCTGTAGAAAAAAAAGAAAAAAAAACAAGAAAAAACTTACTTTTCTAAATTATTTTATTAGTGCCTGCTGAAAATACCTGCCTGGACCGATTCCTAAATCCAAGTGTTAACCGTACCGTTTTAGCGACGAGGACATTGAACAACATAATTTGAAGGAGAATTGGAATGATGTGTGTGTCCGTGTGTATGTGTACGTGCATGTGTGCGTGCGTGTTTTGTCGACGTGACTGTCTAAAGCATTGCGGAAAAAATGTCCTGCACGGTATTCAGCTGCAATTGCGACGAAAACAATATGTTTCTTTGGCAATTCTCTTCAGATAAACAAACATTTCGTACAATTTAAAAGAATAAACGAGTTGAGGCCATGATATGGCCTAAAAGAAGAAAACAGTAAGCCTTCTTCAGGCTATACAGTAACATTGTCATTGACATCTCAAGAAACGCGGGGCGTGGCCTATTATATTCACGCATCCTGATTCGTCGTTCTGCACTCGTCTCGGCTAACGCCGCAATTTGATCGGCTGCGCGGTGATAGTGAGATGTTTGAGAGTCAACTCGCCCCACTACTGCATGGAAAAAAGGAAAAAAATTCGTAAAGGACATAGGGGGGACACGTACACTCTAGAAAAAGCCCGTGAGCCTGCTTTCCCGCACAACACTCGGAGAGCCAATCACCGCAACTTACGGAGGCAGCTTAGCGAATGACAATGCCGAAACATATGTTTAGACCAAAAAATGCAGTCTGAGTTGTGACATTAAGCAATGCAAGCGTGACGTTTTGCATTGCTTAATGTCACAACTCAGACTGCGACATTGTCACTGAGTTGTTCTAGTAACCTTCACACCTTGTAAGCGCGGGGCTGGGCTTAGTGGGGTGCAGTCTCCATCTTCTGCACCTCAATTGTGCTTAACAATGTAAACATTTGAAAAAAAAATTTTTTTTTTTCGTTGAAAAATTGTTTTAGCAAATTCGTGTTCTATCTATATTCTTTAAAAAAGGATTTTTTTCTTGCAGTGCGCCTTTGAATTGTCGGAGGCTATATACCAATAACATATTGTATAAATTCGCCAATATACAGATGCCCCAAACGCTGACCAATGCAAAGCATTCTTCATATTTTAACTCACAAAAAAGATTTTTTTTTTCCTGAGTGGTTTAGTGAAGAATTTCCTTTTTTTTTAATTCTGTTGCCCGAAAAACGAAAAAAAAATATCCTTCGCAACGAGAGTGCAGGTGGTTGGAAGCGACGTTTTCGAATACAGCGTTTAACAAGCGTTACGTTTTCTGTTTCATCATAAATGTCATTATGCGCTCTAGGAAACTTGCGCTCAAAAGACGAACTGCTCTCGTTTGTCTCTTTGTATTTTGAAACCTGTCTAATTATACAAACATGCTTTTTAGTGCCGCTTCGTATTGTCGGGTTGAAAAAAAAATGGTTGGCTTTCGTAATCTTTCACTTTCTCTAAGTTAAAACGAACATGATTCAACAAAGATAGCTCTGCACGGACCGCGATCGCATGAAATTACATCACTCTGAGTAACGCCACGATTAGTTCACTAGACGCCAGGCGACATGACTCACAACCACGTGTTTTAATGATTCACCAACAGAACAGCGGCTTTTAGAAACGCTGCAACACGTCTATAACGCGGGCACTTTGAACACCGAAATACTACATATGCCACGGGTGTTTATGGGCTTGCTACATCCTTGTGTGAGTGGCTTGTGAGAGGAATTTGACCAGCAGAACAGAAAATATTTAAGATAAGGGTGTTCGAAGGACTGATATTAAAAAAAAAAAAAAAAAAAAAAAAAAAAACAAAGAAACTTGCATTGTCCTATACGTTTTTTACGCTGATTGCAATCGAAGTTAAGATTGCAGCCTCACTGGGCGGCAGACGAATGCACGGCGTCTGACATTCCGAAGAAGAGAGCTAAGCAGCGCATGCTCAAAACACATTTTAAAGCCCAGTTCACAAGCGTGGCGGAGCGCAGAAGGTGGCAAGGCGGCTAGTGGGATGGACAATGACAGCCCCAGAAAGGCAGGGCGTTATGACGACACTGGCTTCAAAACAGTCTTCAGGCAGACTGGGGCGAGAGAAAATTAAAAAAAAAAAAAAAAAAAATTCCGAAATACACGCACGATTCTAAAACTGTAATCATGCTTACCGTGGTTTTAATCGCGTCTTGTATATTACGCTCACCTCCGTTAAATTCAAAATAACCTGAATGTTATATGATTTGCTTTTTAGTGCTCCCTCCGCGCTTAAATGGGTTTCACGTCTGTTTCGTTTTTCTTCAATTCGCTGATTTTCGACATGGAATAAGCTTTTCCTGTGCGCATGAAGAGTATCGCCTAATTACGAACATTGGTATAGGCGATAATTATTCAACGCAATCGCTAACACATACACCTCATGGGCATCGCAATATTTATTACAGTTTATTCAAATATAAAGTTAAGCAAGTTGGTAAGAGCTTCATTGGAAAAACAGCATGAACATAAGTGCGGATGAATAGAAACGAGGTCCTGTCTTTTCCCTGCATTCCTCCTCGTTTATATTGGCGATGTTTTCAATATATATGTATGTAATAAAATATATGTGAAATGATACGTAATAAATTCGGCACCAAATCTTTTTTACCGGATTATAGACCAATGTCAGCGCTATTTTTTAAATGTCTGCAAAAACGTTTACAGGTTCGGCTAACTCAGTCGTGCGAATTTTTTTGAATTATCACATATTCTTAGTTCGGATTTTGAAGTGGACGATTTATCGGTTGCATGGTTGAACCTCAAATAAATAATTTGGAAAAACAGAAAAAATAAACAGTTAACGTTGGGAGTTTTTATAGATTTTTCGAAAGCGGTCGATCGGCTAAACGAAGGTTCTTCAAACAACGGCCAGCGGGCCAAATCCAACCCGTGGACAATATGGTCTTAGACAATGTGATCCCGGACAAAATGGTCCCGGACAATTTGGTCACGAGTGCAAACCTGGACAAAATGTTCCCAAGTAAATTTTTCGACCGTTTTTACGCTCTGCCTAAAATGTCGCTGATACCTACAGCGTTTTCTTTTAAGGGGAGTGACAGAAATGGAATAAATCCCACAGAAAAGCTCACCGCAAAACCGGCGGATACGGAGAAAAGCTCCCGGTGTTTTTCCTCTTTTCATATGGAGGCTGTTGGATCGTGCGTAATATATATATATCAATTTCTTATCATCGAAATTCGTCACCTTCGTAAAAAAGAAAATTTCCTTTTTTGTAATATTTATAAAGCCTATTGGGAATATTGCTCCCAAATTAATGATTCCGGGAGAGTTTTTTTTTTTTCTAGGCAACGAAAGCCTAACTGAAAACTTTATGAACTTGAAGAACAGGAAAAAGTTCGAAAAATTAATGTCTGCCTAAAACCTGAAAAAGAAAAACTGTAAAGGCCGAAAATCCGAAAGTGCATGCGCAACTACTCGGCGCCTGAATTCTCTTTGAAGCTTTAGTTAACCTTTGAAAACAGGATAGGACGGTCAGTGGGATATCGAGGTTTCTCTTTTCCAAGGAAATGCACGTTTTTTAGCCATTCGTGCTGGTGTTTTCACACGTTGCCTTTGTGAGATAGTGCCCTTCTACGGCGAGTCACCCATGACCTTCAGAGCTGCACACTGTAACCGTTGTTACTCGTGACCTATATAAGGACTAGCCATCTATAAGGTAGCGAACTGGGCGAGTTGGTAAACGTTATACATGATGAAAACCGCTTAAACGACGAATATGGTGTGAAGACAACAAACACGACAGGACGAAACTGTTCTGGCAACTAACGTTTGATGAATTAAAATAAGAGAAAGAAAACAGGTTAGCCGACACTGATTACATTAAAAAAAAACACCTACTTATCTATCAGGCACCACACACTCTTCGGAGTTGAAACGATTCACACACTGCTATTCATATTAGCTCGCAAAAAAAAAATAAAAAAAAGAGACTCTTTACCTGACAGATGTACTAACGACGCACTGTCGAGCTGTAAATTGTTGTCTTTTTTACGGCTACTGGCGTCATCATTCATATGCAGAATGCGTGATACTTAATTTCTGAGGAATTAGCAAATATGCCCAATGAACTTCAAGAATATTAAAGAAAGGACAATTATTTTTAATGAGGTGACAAATTCTAATAGTGTTAAATTGGCACGTGTGACGCACAATCCGCTAGGCAAATGAAAAACAATCAGTGACCTTTTCCTCACATTCGCTCAAAGGCCGGTGAGCTTTTCTAAACCTCATCTGCCGGTTTTGCGGTGAGCGTTTCTCCGGTGAGCTTTTCTCCGGTGAGCTATTCTGCGGTGAGCTTTTTTCCCGTGACCTTCTCTCCGCCGCACAAATGTCGATTCGTAAAAGGCAATTTATCGTGCAAATAACTCATGTTTTGCTGCAACATCGGGAAATAACAATGGAAATAAACTGATTTTAAACACATGGCACGTTTTATTTTTTGTTCCATAAAAGGTTTACGATCTTGAAGCGGCACTTACTGTGGGAACGTGTTTATATGGCCCACGCGGTTCAGAGGGTCATTCATGGTACGGCTCCCTTGTACGTACTGTGTGCAGAATGTTAGAAGTAGCCGTTGCATTGCTCGGTAGACTGGTTGGAACTCAAGTTAAACGCTCGAAAAGAAGAAGGAATGGTGAAAATTAAGCTAAAAAATGATAAACTCTAGATTGACAAACGGCTCGAAAACATAAGTATTTCGAGGATCACATTTAATAACAGAAAGCTGCGAAGACCAAGCAATAAAAAAAGTTAAAAAAAAAATAAAAAAAATGCCGCAAAATGACTTGGTATGTTTTCGTCCGGCCTAACACTCGGGACCATTTTGTCCGGGACTATATATTGCCCGGGACCATTTTGTCGGGAACCATATTGTCCAGGACCATAATGTCCAGGACCACATTGTCCGGATCCCCTTCCGACCAGCCCTTGGCTAGCCGCGTTTCTTAAAATGAAGCTCGGCCCGGCGGCCCGCTTCCGGCAAACCCGTTCGCCGCAAAGCTAAGCTCGCGTAAATAAAGGACGCCGCAGCACAGAACAACCGCGTAATCGAAGATACTGGAGAAAACGAGAGAAAACTTCCTATCGTAGGTGTGCCCTCTCATCATATTATTCCTTGGGCAGCGTCATCGCAAGCACCAGCAAATAAAGAATTTGGTTGTTGTGATGCATGTAATAATAAAGATTTATTAATTATATTATTAGTAGTAGTTTGCTGGATTATTAGTAGATTGTTGGATACCCGCTAGGTGATGGCCCGATCGCATTTGGATAAGAAAATGACGCATAACACTGGTGCCACACATGATCCAATGCAAATTCCTTTCTTTTGCAGCTAAGCATTCCCGTTGAATGAGACGACAGTGGAAGCTAGTTAGAATGTCAATAGCTCCAAGAATAATTAAAGATCTAGGACAGGTTTGTTTTGGAAGGGCATGGTACCATTTTCCTCGATGCAGTTTTTTACAGCTACGAACCGATGGTCATGAGAAATTGAATAAAACAAATCTTCCACGTCAAGCGAAAAACCATATTGTACTAGTATGTTGTCATTTCTATATCATGTATAACTTGTTATGAGTTGGAAAACAAGTGCAGATCCTCTAGACGAAGGTTTGATAACTGATTAAATATGAATCTTGACATAGCTCCTTGCCATGAACTCTTTTTCGGTTACGACTACACGGAAGGGACATTCCACTTTGTGTGTTTTTGCCATAAAGAACATATCCAAATACTCTTTTTTTGGATGCGGATATTTGCTTTTCCAGATTTGTTAACTTAAGCTTGAAGCACAGTTGAAGTGTTTTAGCTTTCACGTTTTTGATCTTTATATCTTGCAAAAGGTTGAAGTTGTTTTGTATGGCTAAAGTCGCCTTTTGGAAATACATTTTGTTGGGGCGCACTACAAATTACAAATTCCCCTTCCTTATCTGAAACTAGGAGATTTAAATTGTGTGTTTTGAAGTAATCGACTCCTCTAGGTATCATTGTCTTCCTATCAACATGTAAGAATTTCGACCAAACATCAATGCATTCATCAATACATCTGGTTCTGTCAGTTTCTGGAGATTTCGCAACGATGTCGGGTATAGTCGACAGCACCTGTACTCTTTGTATGTGCTGAGCCGTATAAAATATGGGGCCTTTCACCGGAATTTTTCAACGTCTAAAGGAAGGAAGGATTCGCCGAAAAATCTGACCAACTCGCCTTGGCGCTCCTTTTGTTTCGCTCGTAGATATCGTAGGTGTGGTATGTAGGTCCTCTAGAGAGATTCTGTCATTCTGGTTGAAGTGTGGAGCAAGGACTTGTATCTTGATTCATGGTTGAAACCGGAGGCGCAAGTGTTCGCTTGTACCCACAGGCACTCACGGTAAAACCTAACTTGTCTCCACAACTCGGATCGGAGAATCCTGCAAATACTTTTGCTGTGGCGTCTCATGATTTCGCCTGACCGAACATACCTCCGATGTCTGGGAGTATCACATTGCTTCTGATGGCGAAAGCATTGAATCTTGCTCGGCAGATTGAAATGGTGATAACATCAATATAGTACAAAACTGGTTCTAGACCTGATATAAATAACGAGCAACAAATTATCAAAATACGTTCAATTTTGACTGAAAATGCACATGGACTGGACCTAACTTCACACACGAGCTACCCACAGACAACAGCCTTCAATTTCTTGATCTACGTATGATATTCCAACTAAACCACACTTGCCCTGCCCCAATCAAGAAAAATGTTACTCCAATATGAGCCTTTCCATCCAAAACTCATTAAAATGGCATTTATCAAAAACTGTCTTAGCGCAGCCTTCAAGAAGTCAAGAGACCACAAGGCGGGAAAGAGCTTTCGGACACAAATACATCGACTCAAGACCTCTGGATATCCGAGTACCGTCTTGTACGATGCAGTAGAAGGAATAATCAAATCGCAGAGACAGAAAGAAAAAGGAATTTGTAACCAAAAATATAATATTTAGCCGTTAGATATATAAAGATGGCGGAGAAGGATAATTTTTTTTCTCTGTCATTGCATTCACGTGTAGCATAAATCTATCTTTAAAAAATTGATATTCCTAGTACGCAAATAGATAATCATACCGCAGATTACAAACAACACCTCATACATGTCTAGCAAGAAAAAAAAAACAGCACAAAAAGACGCACGGGCAAAAGAAAGGATACACAGACACAGCGCTGACTTTCAAGTGTCGTTTTCTTTCACTAGTCAATACAAATATATAAAAGGACAGAGCCCCTTGAAAAGAGACAGAGCCAGTTCGTATAAAACCATCAAAGATATGTGCCAAATTGACTGATAGTAGTAAATTCAGATAGTAGTAACTTCTCGGGCCCCTAATGTTTCTCGTATTTATTAATGATCTCTTAAACGACGTTCCAGTTTAGATTAATCTCTTTCCAGACGACTGCATCCTTTATAAAGAAGTTAGTACTCCTGATGATCATCTCCTTATTGAAAATTCCCTGGAAAAAATTAAACAGTGGTGCAAAACGCGGCAGATGACACTCAACGCAACAAAGTCCGTATGTATGACCATCACGCGAAAAAAGAAAAACATTTCACAATTTCCCTACAAGATAGATGGCGTACTTTTGTAAAAAGTGGAATCTTATAAATATTTGGGAGTCATCACATCATCCGATCTGCGGTGGAACAGCCACATCGACATCATTGTAAATTGCGCGTACCAAAAGCTAGGCTATCTAAGACGGTCCCTGGGTCACTCTAGCATATCAGCAAAATTGATTGCCTACAAAACTTACGTACGGCCTATTTTTGAATACGCCGCCGTGGTATGGGATCTACACACGCAGGTAAGCATAACGAAGCTGGAAAGAATACAAAGAAAGGCAACTAGATTTATTTACAACACCTACAGCTGGTCAGTATCACCAAGCCAGCTCTTAGCAGATACTAACCTTGAATGCCTGGAAGCAAGACGCCGGAGGGACAGATTAAAATTTTTGTACCTTATTGTGAACGACAGCCTAAAAATCAACAGAAGCAATTATATTTCTTTCTTCCAACAACGGGCCACAAGGAGACCACATCGACTGTTAATTAAAAAAAAAAAATGTTCTGCTAAAAACAATGCATTTCTTCATTCGTTTTTTCCACGCACTATCCGCGAGTGGAATTCCTTGCCAGCTGACAAGGTCGAGAGCGTTTCTTTATCACAGTTTCTATCACAAATTGAATAGACAATCGTGTTTTTAACCTTGCTGTGAGCTTTCCCTGTCGGTTTCTTTTTTTTTTTTTTTTTTGTCTTGCGAGTCATTGCTGGCCAACGTGGTCGATGGGGCTCGTTGTCACGGTTTTTTGTCGCGAACCTATAGTAGATATGATTCTGTCAAAACCTTGTTGCACGTTTGCCTTACTGTTCCTTCATATGTGTGATTCAGATCGTGTTCTAATTTTGAAATAACTGCATTTTCACGTTTATCTTTTGCACGCTTGTGTTTCTTTTGGTGTCAATCGATGCTTGTATTTAGTGCTGCAGTGCTGTGCGGCACTGCCAACGGTGTTGATTTTATGTAACCGAGCATTGTATATTTGAATTTATGTTGTACCTCTCCTGCCAAAGTCTTGAAAAAGGCGAGCAGTACGAATAAATAAATAAATAAATAAAATATCTGAAATATTAAGCAACTGTCCGGAATCAGCTGATAAATGGCATAGCGAACCTACATTTATTAGGCATTTTCGGTACATCCCTTTGATGGTGCGGTATATGGAGCAGCTTGACAACCATGCGCGTCCTGAATCGGTCTTTATTAAATTGTGATGTTTTCTTTCCCATGTAAAGTTGTCCAAAGGCGCTGGAGGAAGCTGGGAGTCTTTGTAGAAGGCACCCACCTGTATTTCCTAAACTGCAACGAAATATAGGGGATAATTCTGGTCCTTAGTACTTTTTTTTTCAAATCTTGTTTGGTGCAAGCACATTATATTCTTATTTGGAAGTTTAATTATGTTCGATAATATACTAGCTCGCATAATTAGAATTATTTATAACTATATTACACCCTGTTTTTAAAATAATTTTGCGAGCGAGAATAAATGAAACAGAATTTGTGCTCAGGATAATTTCTTCTAAACGCAAAGACCGCGCAAAAAACATACTGCAAAAAAGAAATGTGACTCATGTGCACATGTTCCTTTCGCAACCTCGGGCGTTCATTCTAGCCTCACGTATCTCATGCGTGACGCGGTACGTATGTGCTTATTGTTTTTTTTTTTTTTAATGGCGCGAAAACGAGAAGTGTTTAATACATACTGCATATTTCATCATAGCGTCAAATTCGTGGAATCTGTAGCTTTCTTTTTTAATCTCTTCTTTTCAGATCGAGACTTACTGCAGGTGTTTGTTTCCGCTTGAAATTATGTAAGATTTAGCGGAAAGTGGAGTGTTCGCGCATGGCAACTAAAAGTCTTTCTGGCGGGCCTCAAAATAATATATAAAGGACAGAATATGTTGTCTTTCTCATGACAAGCTGGCCTTCGTGGACCAACTCTCACTTGCAATAATGAAGCGTTTGGCTCTCCCAATATTGGTTCTCTGTTTGACCAACCTTGTGGTTGCAAAGAGATGTAAGTATGACGGCTTTTTTTTTCGTTAAGTTGCGTGTGTTGAAAAATAAAAATAATGTTTAATCACCGAACATTTTGTGGTGGAGCAGGCTCCGCGGTACATGTATATGCAAATAAAATTATAGCATATTAGAAAAGTATCATACATAAAATCAATATACGTATATGACGCTTGTTCTAAAACACCCCTAAGCCGGTACTAATAATTTGATTGTTTTACTATGTGCTATTGAATCTTGTTGTACTAGATAATTATTCCAATTTGCGCAGTTGGTCACTTGATCGAGTGTTATTAAAGTTAAAAGAATATATATATATAGAAAGAGTGCAAGTGTGTCCCCTATGTTAAATCAATAGCACTTCATGGTATCACGCTTTCTTACGCAAAAATGAAGGTAATCGCATTCCTAGGAGAATTTGGGCATCGATTTACACTTTCGGAGAATACCATGTGGTAAGAGCTCACCAGTAATTTTCGCTAAAATAAAATACTCATAGATGAAGAAAGAATAAAACAATTAAAACAGGGACAACAAAACCACAACCATGAAAGATGTGGTTGTGTTGTCCCTGTTTTAATTGTTTTGTTCTTTCTTCATCCATGACTTGAACCAACACGCTCTTCTACCAAGCATAAAATACTCACCTGCTGCTTTTCTTGTGGTGTGTCTCCACGCAGGAAGTTGACGACGCCTACTTATACTCAAAAGAATTTCCATGTATTAAATTTGCTGAATGCTATAAACCTTTTTCGTTCATCCTCGTTTCCAACCACGTAGTTGACAAACACGGCAAGCGGGATCAAAAAACAATCGAGGTATTACAACTTGGAACTATTATACGAATGCAGTAAAAGAAAAAAAAAACAAGAATGATAGACAGTCGAAATAAAAACTTGTGCTTCTCTCAGTGGTGTGGCGAAAGTAAAACTATGTTTTCCAGCATACCGGAAGTTCCTCGATTCAAGATGGCGGCACCCCTGTCGACTATAACTATATAAATTATGTTTTGTAGAACTAGAATATATATTTTTTAAAGGGAACTTGCTTTAGTACGTTCTTAAACCTATGAGAAAGTTGGTGTCAGGGGGGCCACAAAAAAGAGGTGAGAGTGGTTAACTACTAAGCTAATATTTAAATCGTCTTGACTAACTTCTAAAGTTTTCGGGTTTTGGAGCATAGTACAGTTACGCTCATCCTTTTTACAGTCTAGCCGTGACGTCAAATATTAATTAAAAAAGTAAAAGTGGGGGCTGCACGACGAAAAGTGTCATCCTTGCGCATAGCTTCAAAACCGAAAGTGACCCACAGAAGCGCGACAATGGCGCGGATTGTTCCGGTTGGCGCATGCGTAACACTGCTCACGTTACTTGCGGCGCTGACACGTGGGCTGCAAAACCTGCGCAGTACGGAATTGACGTACTGCGCAGTATATTTTTTTGCAGACGTCTACTCCAGTTCGTCTGTACAACGCAGATTTTTTTTAAGGGAGCTCTTGGAAAACCAACTTTCAAAGGGAAGATTGGTACGCGCTTATGGCCTGTTTCCCAGCGTGTACCACGTTATTTGTTGTTGTTGTTATTGCTGTTTCTGATTTTTTTTTTATCGTTATGATCTGCAAATGAGGGTTTCAGTGACTGAAAATACAGAACCCCAAAGGAGTTCGCACAATATATTTTGTAGAGCTGAGCTTCAATCACAAATTGTAACCCTACTTAACGCGCCCTTTAATCGATTAATTAATTGATAAATAAATCATTCATTCCTATAAATATTATTTTTTTTAAAGTAAAACTTACATTTTTTTTTTTGCCCTGATGATGTAATAAACGGCGCAATATACAATTTCGATTATGAATAAACCTCTATACGTAGTTGAGAACAGTTTATAGACACACTCAGAAAAGATTACTTCATCTGCACGAGGCAAAGAGGTTCGTTGATATTCTCGGGCGAGAGCGGTCTCCTTTGATTGCTCAGAATAGTATCTACCGCACTAAACGGACACTCGTACTGCGTTGAAGTGGACAGGACACTTTTCTAGAGTTACAAATCTCGCCCTTACAGTTTATTTAGGTTAAAATTTTACCCAAATTTTGCCCTTTATATGTGTGTATCGGTTCCTCTCTGCGTGGTGAAGCAGTCAATCTTTACTTTAAATTGGTTTGTCAAATTGTTACCGATTGAACGGTTCGAAAATTAATCATGATTAAAGAATTAGTTCATTAATCGCTAGTTTAATCAATCAATCGCCCACACCTAATTTTGTGTACCATATTCGCTCGTACAAGTACTTCTAAAATGTTTCACTCTGAGCGCAATACCAAACAGCTCCTGTTGCAGTTTTTGCGTATTAGAGCTCGCTTGGTGAGAGCGTTCTGGAAGTAAAAGCAATTCGCGCTCAGCAATATGGCATAAAGATGGCTGCCAAGATTCCGCATGGAGATGCATTGCAGGTAAGGTAGAAAGACTTGCTCGGGTTGTAATGAGCAAGCTGCTTTCTACGCTGAACATCCTACTTTGATAATTTGAAGGCGTTTTCCCATTCCGCGTTGACATCATATTCTGGGTGGATTGTAACCCGCTCTCGGCCGAATGAGTTACCTGACCGTTGATTTTGTAGCCGATCGATAACACGCTGACGCTGCTCTTTAAGAACTCGTATTTTTGAAGGTTAGCCTGAAGTTCGTTCGCCATTAGTCAAGCAAAAACATGGTCCGACCATCGAAGGTGGTCCTCGAGAGCACTTAATGCAATCAAGAGGTAATCCAGATAACACCGCACATGTTAAAATGTTTATAAGATCCGGTTCATGATACGCAGAAAAATCGATGGTGCTCTGAAGATTCCGAACGATATGAGATATAGTGCTGGCAAGTGACTTTGTGTGTAGCGTAGCGTTGGTTGTGTAAAACTTCCAAGTACGGCTAAAGCTCCAACTGTTGTAAGTACTGGTCAAAGCCACCTTACTAAAGTACTTGCCACTAGCAAAAAAAAAAAAAATAAAGCCTTCTGCAATTTGTCAGACGGAACGGTTCACAGCGGCCTCGTATTCTTCCCAAAGTCTAATGAAGTTGTCCTTTTTTGGGGCGACCACTATCGGCGCCGCCCCATCGCTCCTATTATCCTTGGCGATAATGCCGAGGATTTAAAAGGTTTTCGAGTCCTTTCTCCACGATTTCTAGCAGGGCGTATAATATGTCACGTGGTTTAACGAAATTCAAATAAAATGGGCTGCGTGCCGTTGATTCCTTCAAGCTCTCCCAGTTGTTCACTGAGAAGCTTTATGCACTTGCCTAGCAGGCTGGCTAATCTGTGCCGAACAGCGAACTCTGCGAGGGAACTCTGAGAATAGTTGAGACAAATACTTTGCTTACACCATTTATTTTTCAGAAGAAAGGGTTGATTTTCTAGGATGACCGATCATCAGTGATAGCGCCACTTCTTGGTCTTCGCAATCTAAAAAAAAAGCCTATGTGTCTACTTTCCCACACATCACTAAGAGAGCCAATCATCGCAACTTATGGAGGCAGCTCAGCAAAGGACGATGCCGGAGCATATGTTTGGACAAAAAACGCAGTTTGAGTTATGACATTAAGCAATCCAAGCGTGACACTTAGCATTGCTAAATGTAACAACCCAGACTGCGTTTCTTAGTCTAAACATATCTTTCAGCATCGTCATTCGCTGAGCTACCACCGTAAGTTGCGGTGATTGGCTTTCCGAGAGATGTGCGGAAAAGCAGACGCAAGGGCTTGTTTTAGAGTGCATAGGTGACCGGAACATGCTGTTCTCTGAAAACGGAGAAGGCGCCGCACATATACGAGTGAAGACAAAGAGACGAGAGTGGGGGAGAAAAAAACTGTGCATCGACGTTAAATATTTCCTCTCGGAGATGATGGTCAGAGCCTTCTCACAGTTGAGCGGAATTTCCACCTGGTTTCCTTCCAGACCGAGCCAAACATCAATGACAATTCCGGCGCTTCGGAGGCCCCTAAATTTAATGCGTTAGTCGCCTACGCGACTTGCTCCTACAAAACTTGAGCGATCTATTTCTTGTCCCCACAGCCATGGGAAAATATCCCTCTAAACGAGACATCCGAATGGGCATGATGACCGTCCCATGGGAAGAAGGTACGTCACACAGGGGCGCTCGACGCCGCTGGCGGCGCCTCCTTTGATGGTCAGAACGTTTTCCTTAAGCTCACAACATAAGTCATGAGTAGTTGCACACTGAGTGTGCTGTACCGTGAGTGACACGCCTAACGCGATCTCGCGCGCTGACTTAAAAGTCAGCGTCCTCTCCATCAACAGGAAGTTGATATTATAACCGACCCTTAACCCACATACAAGAACAATTGCACAAGGCCTCCGTCAAAACGGCCTGAAAATCGCACGTGCGCGCGTGTTTGTTCAGTATCATCATTAAGCCAGACAACGTTTCACCTCAATTTTGATTACGCACGTAGAACACTGATAATGCGGCACTCGTAATTAGGTGTGACTTGTAGTGCTGAATTTGCGCTTTTTTTTTTGGAACTCCGGGCAAACAGTCCGTTCGGCTTACAGAAACAAGGTATTGCAAAAACGCATAGGTCGACACATTACGTGTCACAGCCATAACATCTCCCTTCTTGCCACCTGCAACCTCGCTAGCGACGAGCAATATTTTGCAAATTTAGGTATAGACCACATCATTTTGACTTGTCGAGATCGCGAAAGTCGATCAATATACTGTAAAAGAACTTGTTGGGCTAGTTGGTGTTGAATGTATTAAACCATGGTTAAAAGCGCTAAAAAAATACGTACAGATCTATCTTGTGTACGCCTTTTTTTTAGCGCTTTTAACCATGGTTCAATACATTCGATCAATATCATTCATCCTCATCTGGTTGGTACTGCATCGGCGGGGCCTGTTCCGAGCGTCTGAGCAGATGTTAGTTCCTCTAGGACGTTAGGGCAATTGAGTGCTCCTGATAAAAGGAAGTTGTTATACGCAATTTTTTCAAACTAATGATGAATTTACCGGTACACCGTCGTCGCCAATGTGGCATACTTAGGTTTCTTTATGTGCTAGGCTTTGCTAGGTTTTCCAACGGCAGCAGGTTTCCAGGTAATCGAGATAACGGGCGCGAACGTGCCCACAAGGTGGGTCCGCCACTTCGATTCGACAAAGCGCAAGGAACACGATATTGAATGGGAATATACAGGATAAATTCTGAACTAAATATGTTTACACCTTGTTATGAGCGTAATTATGCTGACGTGCGGAAAAAAATACAAATTTTAAGCACACCACGGATTTGTCCATGTGTGTGTGTGTGTTTTATTGTACAATTTGATTTTCACGGGTCGAGCCCGGTAGGGAGGCAGAGACAAAAAGCATTTCTGCCTGACTGAAGTACACAGTTACAAAAAAAAAGTAAGTACACAGTTATAAAAAAAAAATTAACCAAAGGAGAAGCATTACACTTGGCACATTCATGGGTATTATGTGATTGGATGTACACATTTATATAAAAGAAAGTTCAAAATATGCTCAACAAAATGTCATTGCCACATTTCTTTTTCTCCTTTAAAAATCATAGGACTCAAAATATTAATTCCACAATCATTGAAAATATTGTCATGTTCATGAAATCATTTTTTTTTTAAATGAGAATAAACACTTGACTCGTCCCAGGGGCAGAAAAAACGAACTCTGGTTTCATTATTGAGACACACAAAAAAAAATCTCTTTAGATGTGCTGACACAGAGAAGCAATAAAATAAAGATTTTAAATACTAATAATCAAACATAAAATCTTGATGCAGGCCCAAGAGCATTTGGCAGAGTTTTGATGTAATATCTTTCAGATTACAAAAGTTTAAAAATTTTGCTTTTCAAAACCAATGTTTTTGTGGTTTATAGTATTTCTAATTTCTCCCTTATATGAATGAAAGGATAGCGAAAAGTCGGCATGTGTGTTCTAATTATTCAGAGTGAATTTTTGTTTTCCGTAATTTGTTCTTACCTCCGGAGTTCCTCGCTTTGTAATTTTTAATTCTCGTTGTCTAGGAAATTCATTTATTTGATACAGCTTCCACTCGTAAATTACTTCCATCAGTTCGAACTAATAAATCTGGAGTGCTTCGAGTAATTAGTGCTTTTTAAAATATGGACTACTATGAGAATCGCGAAAATTACCTCGATAGTTTTCAAAAATTCGCAGAACCTTTTTCAGAAGTGTATGCAATTTATTATAATTCGTCATTGTTGTTGCTCCCCCGAAAAGAATTCTTTAACAGAGGCTCGAGTAAAACAGTGACTATTAAAGGGTTTTCTTAAGCCAGTTGGGTATTAAATCTGATATTCTGCACTCGCATCCGACCGATTTATATAATTCACTTTTTAGTTTGGTTACATGAGTTGTCAAAGTAAACTGCTCACTAAACCAAACACCAAGAAACTTCTGATCATGTACTTGAAAAATGGGGATAATATTAAATTAGGCAGTTGTTTTGGGGTTTTATATTTTCTACTGACGGGGCTGGAATAAGATATATTTTGTTTTGTGCACTCTAAGTTCAAATTTGTTTATTTCGAGCCATTTTGCAAATTGCACTCTGTATTCTTCTCTCGGTGTGCGTTGTGTTGTATATATATTTTTTAATTCTATTAAAAAATTAAAAATATATATTTGCGTTGTCAGCGTACATCACCATATGTGAGAAATTTGAGATATTTCTTATGTAAATTTATATAAAAGAAATAACACTGGCCCTAATATGGAACCCCGAGCCATACCATGTTTCGCTTCTAATCGCTGAGAACTAATTTAGTTCGTATAAAGAAGCTTTTGTGTATTACACAGGTACGGCTTAACTAGATTAGTTGCGACCCCACGTACGCCTTATAACTGTATATGAAAAAAAAATACTCTCCTTTATATTTGTGAGAGCTAATTCCTTGATTTTTCTGTCATCAATCTTTGCACAGTTCACTCTCTGGTGATAAAACTTTTGTTTGGCTTTCCAGTACGTCATCTCTTATGCGACATTACTGTAGAGAACCATGATGTGTTGTTATCGAATTGATCCGAAATATATGTGCCCTTTGAAGGAGACATAGACTAACACAATATTAAATACCAAATGAAGTCCTATTGTAGCACCCAGTGACTTGAAGTCACAGTTGCGAAGCAGTGGCTGAATGGAGTAATAAGTTCCAAGCTAGTCACTTTGAGAAGGTGGTATGAGCGATAATAGGATAATATTTTTTGTGCAAATGCTTCGGATTCAAATAAAGCAAAGGGGTATGAAGATTCGTCTGCATTTTTTTTTAAGAAACCTGTGCTCCCTATGAATGCCTTAAATGTGGTTTAGCTATACACATTTACTCCATGCCCTCTTCTACGAGTGAGTAATGACCATTATTTCAACTGCTTTAATATTCCTGTTGCTCTTCACATTTATTTGTCGGAAACTTCATATTTAAGATGTTCGTTAACCTTAAACATATACGTGCAATTGCAGGGAGATCGCCCAGTGGCAACCTTGGAGGGAGTGTGAGTTGGATACTTACTTTTATATATATAATTAAGCTACTATATTTGTTGCAAAAATCTAAGATTTTACTATTTTCTTAGTTAGGTAGTAATACCAATATAAACTCAAATGGTACCTAAAAGAACTAAAATCACTGAAAAAAATTTGCTCCAATTATTCCGTAGTGTAAGATGTTTTATACACTGCTTGTGATATTGCCTTTAAATGGTGTGTACCTCTTCATCTAAAAATTGAAATGACTTATAACAAGTTTACACTTAACCTCGGTTTTTTACTCACGACATTATGAAACGCTGAGCTACTTTCTTTGTGGTATTTCTTTATTTTTTTTATTTACGTTTTACGGCAACCGACTACAATAACTTAACTCGAATTGAAATTAATTGCTTGCAAACGGTGGGGTGCATGATAAAACGAAATGTATTTGAATGCGACAGTCCAATGGCGGCGGAATGCCTGGAGCACCTGGAGAATCGGAGTCAGGTGGGTCACCTGGAGATCGTGGACCCCGTGGATTTGGGTCAGGTAAAACAGTTGTTCTTGGATTTAATCCTTCTGAAAGGTCAATAGGATCTCAATTTCACCCTGAATTTTCTCGTTTTCATGGATCTCTTGGATCTCCCGGATCTACTGGATCGGTGAAATCCGCAGCTCCTCAAGCATTTCGTGGATCTTCTCAACCCGATGAACTACCTAGGTCAGAGATGCCAACTACACCTTCTGGAGATGAATCAAAGTATTTTTCACCCGTTAATGAGCCCGATGAGTATAGTAGGTCTGACCTCTCTACTCCCACCACTAACTCTACCAAATCGTCAGCATCTGTTAGGTCGGACGAACAGGCAGTACCAAACACACGTCCCAAAAGAAGTCCTCCTGGGCTACCTACGACGGAGTCCACACCACACACTGGGAAGACTGGAAGTGGTTAGGTATGAGTATAAACAAAGCATTTAATTGAAATTAAAACTTAAATTTAAGTGAAAAACAGTATGGCAGTTTTCTGTGTATCGCAACCTGCAATGCCGCTGTGTGCCTTCTCAGAAAGTTGTTTTTATACATTTAGAAAAACGAACAATCTGACGTAGTACCAATTAGAAAGAACGTGAATAGCCTCTCAAAGCGTTGATCTGTGAACCATGTCCCATGTTTTATTGTTGCAGGAACCTACCGAAGGCCACTGGCACTGATGTGGGAAAAGATAACCTTAAAAGAAGATGACCACAATTTATGAAAACGGTCTAATAAAAACATTATTTGAACCACCTTATTGCGTTTTCTTTTTCAAGAGGTCAGAAATCCTGTGAGCAAAGATAACTAAAGCGCAAGTCGCTGGAGCAGTAAAAACTCAACATGAAAAAAATAAATGATAAGGTTAGAAAAAAAAACTCAGTTTTTTTGCTTTGGCGGAGAAGGAAGAGCAACGAAGCTATACTATGGTGAGAATGAAGTGATGGCCGGCCGCAAGTCGGAAAGCCAGAGTGGAAAGTGCGGCAACAAGACAACCGGTAAGCCGGTTGTCTGGTTGCCGCCGTCACTCATAGATGTCCGTAGCTGTCCGAAGTGTTGTGTCGACATTTATTTGCTGGCGGACACGATCCTGGGGAAACTAGCCCTTAACAGCTCTGCTATAAAAACACACACGCGAACGTTTGCGATAGAAGAAAACCGAACTGGCACCATTCCATATATTTGAGGCAGTTGATTTCTGTAAATGCCTTTGTTTCGAGTAATAAAAATATCTTACGTTGCAGATATTTTTATAGAGGGGTTGTAAATAAAACTATTATTACAACGCGTGCACAAATACCTATTGCAATGCATGTAAGTTTTATGTTATACCTATAGGTAAGATATACAGGCCATCTAGGTCGGGCTGGATTGGACTTAAGATTTCTTAATTAATGTTTTTGTTAGTCAAAATTACCATGGGGTTCTTAATAAACAAACTGCTTAGCGTCATAAAAATCATTAATTGAGTAAAGTTTAGAAAGATCTGGAGATGCGTGGGAAAAGCGGTGGTGAGGTAAATTTACCACTCGTTCAACAGGCTCAAGGCTGAGATTGTGAAAATGCAGATGATAACACCATCGCTCGCTCATCATTTGCGTTGTCGCAATGCCGGCCTTGGCCTTGTTGTATGAGTGGTACCTACGGCGCAGAACCGCGCTTCCAAAGCGCTTCTAATTTTATTTTTATTTACTTAGTGGTTTTCAATGACTCTCAGCGAGCTTCTAATTTGAACCTAATGTTTATTTTCGCTTCTTAAAATGCTAACGAAGAAATTTTATTTAATAAATCGCATTATAACGACGATTGTCCGCATTGCCGGGTAGAAGGCGGTTTAAACAAGCACGCAAAACGTCGTCCGGAACAATCCGTGGAACAGAACACGTACTTTTTTTAAAAACTTCCTCAAGCCGGAATGGGTGAATGTGTGTAGAATCATCTGGACCAGGCTTCTAGGAAGAGAATGCAACAAAACCAAATGCTTCTTAAGACTTCGTTTGTCCTTTGGAAGGATTTGCAAGAAGCGATACGTGCAAACTCACCCCCCCCCCCCCCCCAACCACCACCCACCCCGCTCCGCGCAAGGTATATGAGGAGGGCGAGGAGGGTGGACCGGCCTTTCCCTGATTGGCTACTACGAAATTCCGGTGTTATCTGACCTCGCCCAGGTGCGGCTAAAGTGAATATATTGAACTTTCAATGCAGGCCCCGGTACGAGTGCAGGAAATACGTCACCGGTGACGTCGCGGGCTACGTCATTTCTGCCTTCCCAATTATTGCGGGAAATGTTTTGTGGGTTGGTTTGGACCGCCCTTAACAAATCGCACAAACAACATTAGTGTAGCTGTGATGAATTTTCTAAAGACAATTAGTAAATCACACTTAAACACACCGTACCCTTCATCTAGGGTGTTTCGATCTTATTTGTGCACATACGGTAGGGGGGCAAGTTTGCCCACAGCCATAAGGGATCCGAAAATTCCGTGGTTGAGGCTGGGAGACTCTAGAGACGGAGAGAGTCGGACATACGGGTTGGTCTCTAGGAGCCGGGTATTGCAAGGGCAGAAGGTCTGGACATCAAGTTATTTTTGGTGGCCCTCTGGCGGTCGCTGATATTACTCTCAGTGGAATAGGCAATGCTCCCTTAGGACATGTCACACGAGTTACAGAAGCAGACAAAGGTTTACATTACATACACCGAATGAAATAAAGTAAGTGAGCCCATCCAAATCCCAACAGCGCTAAATATTCCGCGTTTCTTTCTGCTTTTCTTCAACAGGAGGCTCGACCTCCCAAACTTGACTCCGGCCTTTATCTCCGAAGTCTTATAATCCATGGAATAACGCATTTAAACGGATGTTGCACCAAAATTGTAGGTCCCATTTCATTCGCTTAAATGTAAATAACGTTCTGGAAAAACACCACAGAGACAGCGATGTTTTGCTCAAAACGACACCAAAGAATTATTAGAAAAGAATTAACCGAATGTAGCTGCGTCACCCTGGACTTAAAAGCAGAGCCGCTCTGCGGAGGCAATAATTCAAGATGCGTCCGAGCGAGCCCTGTCCAACCCGAGTTTCCTTCTCTGTTGCCAATTTAACTCCTGTGGGGAGCGGGCAGGGGCAACTAAAAACGGCCAGGTTGCAACGCGGTGACGACAGTAAGTGGCGAAGCTCATAACCACGCCAGCCCCCAAGCAGACTTGTCCATGATGGGCCAGTTTACGTCACGTCTCCCGGGATGCGTCGCGCTCTCTGCTGGCTGATTTTCAAGCGCTCACTGGAATCGGTCCTTTACAACGAAAAACATGGCCATCCGTTCAAAATTGCAAGCGTGCGATTGTCATTGGCAGAGAGAGTTGATCATGTTTTACTTATTTCTGAACGTGAGAGGTATATTTATGTTTCGACTCAGTATCCCTTTATGATGAGATCGTTTAAATTTGTTTAGAGAGAAAAAAAAATATTTTCGCGAGTGGATAAAAATGTTGTTCACTCTGACAAGACTGCTGACTGGGCGAGTTGGTAGTTTATGTTGAATAACGTAACAGCGCACAACAAGAGAAACATTCGCAAACACAGACACACTAAAAATATACACTTACTCGGTACTGACTCACAACTCGTGGATTTGTATTGTCTTCTTCTTCTACGCACAAAGACCCACCTCCTCTTTTTCTAAAAACATGATGACGACCTTAAATGCAAATTACAAAAAAAAACAATAAAATTCAGAAATCCTTAAGAAATGACTATAAAAATATAAAAAGTAAAGAATAATAAAGAATTCTCACTGCTGGTGCCTAAGAGAACTTTTGGTCAAGTACACAAGCTCCCTTTGCGAGAGATTTAAAGATGGCCAGCTGACACTTGTCAATGTGTCATTCGATGCTTGCTGCCCCGATAATCTCCCTGGTGAGCTGATTGGGGCTCTTTCCCAACACAGTACCGTTGCTCAAAAGCACCGAACACCTACAGCCCCTACAGTGTAGTCCCAAATGTCCAGAGTTGGCGTTGATGACGTTGTTGACATGCTCACGAAGGCGGTTATTCAGACACCGACCATGCAGTCTGTCCTATGTACACTCCCCCACAGGAAAGTGGGAACGAATAAATTACTCCTTCTACATAGGGAACAAAGTTAGTTCGGTGCTTTTTGACACAACTTACAGTGTTAGTTGAAGTCGAATTTACCTTTTACAGCGGAGCTGTTAAGGCCTAGTTTCCTCAGTTTCGTGTCCGGTACCAAACAAATGTCGACACAAAACTATACAAAACTCTGGACAGCTACCGCCATCTATGAGCGACGGCGGCATCCAAACAAGCAATCTAGTTGCAGCCGTCGCTCATAGATGGCAGTAACCTTTGAAGCCTTTCCGTCAAGGTGCGCGATGGTTCAGTGGTCGCCGTCGCGTACGTTCCCCCCGCGACGCTCATGACAGACATTGAAGCATTTATGATGGACGTCTTCGGCTGGGTCATGCTCGGCGATGACACGTCTGCAGCTGCGATGGGTGCCTTTAACGTTGACATTGCACGCCAGGAGGGAAAGTGGTTCATTTCGTTTATGCTCGAGCGCTTCGGGCTTGCGTCTGTGAACGAACCTACACTGCCCACGACCAGGCATCGGACGTGTATAGAACTCGTCTTCACGAAGAACGTGCCTGCCGTCAGCGTACACCCTATGGCGGTGTGCCACAGCGATCACAAGGCCATGGTCACTCAGGTTACGAAATAAATAACAACCCCGGATCGTTATACATATGTGTCTGATTCTTTAATCGTTCAAATTACAAATTACCCAATCACACCTTAATCCTTAAATTTATAAATACTCCCACCACAGTACAGCTGCGCTGGTCTTCTTTCTTCACCAGAGTGGAAAGGCTGACAGTTTTTTTTACACACGCTGTAAACCTTTTTTGCGGCTGAGAAGACTACGTCTACGTTAACTCTATTCGCTGCCCTCTTAAGGCTATGAGAGAATGTATGCATGTATGGTACTACCACCGGTCTTCTTGGCTTGTTTCTGGGGTTTCGATTCACGCCATTACCTTGCTTGATCTCTTTAAGAAGCCTTTCAACGAGTGACGTAAATAAGGAATCAAAGTATTCTGCGGACTTTAACATTGTGACTAGAACATTGAAGCTCTTTTCCATTGTGTGCGTGCACGATTTGGTGATTGAATTTTTTAGACACGTTTTCACGACGCCCCTCTTCACTAGTTTGGAGTGCGCTGAGTGGAATGGGAAGAGCGGTTTGCTCCCTCTAGGCTCATAAGACCAGCATACATGCTGAGCTAACACTTCTAGTCTAAGGTCTAGGAATCTTAATGATCCTGCAACCGGGTGTTTATAAGTGATTTCCAACAGTTCCATACAATTTTCGAAACTGGCAGTAACTTCGGTCACTAAGGCATTTAAGCTGTTGTGGGTTGTCTACGAATATTAAGAAATCATCCACATACTTAAAGACCTTCACTGCCTTTGACTATCTAACCTTCCTTGTAGAATTCTCTCATAGTGTGCTAAATAGAGGTCACTGAGGACAGTGGCAATGCTAGATCCGATGCATATCCCTCTCTTTTGAAGATATATATGTCCCTCCCAGGTAGTGAAGGTGGACTTGAGATAAATGGTGACCGAAATGAAAAACTGGCTTTGCGAAAGACCCGTCGTTGTCTGAAAGGAAACGGCACCACAGGCATCGATATCTTCTTCAATACACCTTAAGAGGCTTTCCTGGGGCAAGGCATA